AAAGACTTAGAGTACTTGGATCTAACGGAGGACATGACACATGACAGAACATAATGGCGTTCTAAGATTCATATAGCCGATCCCCTCAGTGACTTGGATTTTCCAAGTCTCCAACCGAGAAGTTTTCCTCACTCGGGAAATTAAGGGGACACTACCTCAACCTACATGCTCCACTCACAAAGCTTCAACATACAAGCTTCAACAAAAGAAAATTCAAAGAACTTAGCGAAGAAGGCTTTGGTGTATTTAACACAATACGCGGAAATGAAGGAAATCTTATTTATTGATATCCCCGATCAGTTACAAATATGTACATATACTTGAGTCAAAATAAACAAACAAGAGGGAGCCTTCACAAAGGTTGCTTAAAAGAAGTCTCAGCAGTCGGTAGAGCCCCAGAAAGAGAAGGCACCGGAGGGGGATCATTCGGAGCCTCAGTACTGGACAGAACCTTAGAAGGATGAGGCATCAGAGGTTGATCATTTGGAGTTTCATTACGCGGTACAGCCCCAGAAGACGAAGGCAATAAATGCCTTTGGAACAAACCCACAAATCTCTGATGATCAAGTAAAACTTGACCATCAGATTCCTTCATCTGGTCAAGCTTCCTCTTCATGTTTGTAGCATAGTCATGTGCGAGCCGGTGCAACTATTTATTCTCATGCTTGAGCCCTCTAATCTCCTGTTTGAGACTCATCACTTCAGCCGCCAATGATTCAACTTGGAGGGTTCGAGCAAATAGGCGTTGGGCCATATTAGACACAGAACCTGCACACTGAACACTGAGAGCCAAAGAATCCTTAACAGCCAACTCATCAGACCGTTTGGAAAACAGTCTGTTATCTTTGGGAGTGAGAAGGTTCCTGGCCACTACCGCAGCGGTCATATCATTCTTCATCACGGAATCCCCAACGGTAAGAGGACCAGTAGGAGAGACGAAGGATGGGCACCATATGTTGTCTGGAGAAGGTGGGGCTGCCTCTTCAACATGGTTCAAGTCAAAACGACGGTCGGAGGGGCCAGACATTTTCAAAGGTGTTGAAGAGAGAAGAGGTCGGACAAATCAAGATCTTAGAAGTGCAAGAATGTAGCTTTTACTGGTGGATATTCAAGTGTGCTTTGGAACTTAATGTCACCCCCTATAAAAATCTGCACTCGACGAAGCTTCAGAAATCGAAGAGGCACCTGCTCAGAAATCGAAGAGGCGTTTGCTTTCTCAAAAGCTGGGCTGCTGAGAGACCACGAGGGTCGATCTCAGAAATCGAAGAGGCGTTGGCTTTCTCAAAAGTTGGGCTGCTCAAAGACCACGAAGGCTGATCTCAGAAATCGAAGAGGCTTGCTTTCTCAAAAGCTGGGCTGCTCAGAGACCACGAGGGCCGATCTCAGAAATCGAAAAGGCACCTACTTTTCCAGCCTTGTCAGCACCTGTCACACGCACACTCAGCTTTGTGGAAATTATGGGCATTTTGTCGAAGATTTCTGGAGAAGTAGAAAACACATGAATCGTACTGTTCAATCACCCACTTCCCACACGCAACAGTAGCTCATGGGTACCACAGATAACTTTGCCAATTCTCTGACAAAGTTGAGACACGTGAAGCTTGCAGCTCCCACTACATCGCTCTGACCAAGAAGGGTAAAAGAATAGCAAAGAAACAACACTAACAAAGTTTAGACACATAAATTTTGAAGGTCTAGCTAACATATTATTACCCACAAGGGTAAAGGAACAGTACCACTGTTGGATAATTGGAAAGTCCCTGTGTGTCAACCTTTGTGCTTCGTGGCAAGGTAGACTAGCAAACATGCCCAACCTTTACTCACATTCGAGAAAACACTCCCAACAAGATTGCTTGCTCCAAAATCGAAGAGGCACCGCCCTCTGAATCTCGAGAGCCAGACTCCCAACATGATTACTTTCTCAAAAATCGAAGAGAGGGTAAAGGAACAGTACCACTGCTGGATAATTGGAAAGTCCCTGTGTGTCAACCTCTGTGCTTCGTGGCAAGGTAGACTAGCAAACATGCCCAACCTTTACTCACATTCGAGAAAACACTCCCAACAAGATTGCCTGCTCCAAAATCGAAGAGGCACCGCCCTCCGAATCTCGAGAGCCAGACTCCCAACATGATTACTTTCTCAAAAATCGAAGAGACACCGCTCTCCGAATCTCGAGAGCCAGACCCCCAGCAGGATTGCTTTCTCAAAAATCGAAGAGGCATCGTTCTCCGAATCTCGAGAGTCAGATCCCCGACAAGATTGCTTGTTCGAAAACCGAAGAGGCACCACTTTCCCAACTTCAAGAGCTGGATCTCCTTGGATAAAGCTTGTCTGTAATCTTCACACGCAACATCAACTTTCCAGATACCACAGACCACTTTTTCAAAGTGCTCTGACAGAGTTAAAACATGTGAAGCTGGCAGCTCCCACTACCGTGCTATGACCAAGCAGGGTAAAGGAATAGCATTATTACTTGATGTTAGGGAGACTCCTATATATGTCGACCTCCATCCCCAACGGACAGGCAGACCTGCAAAATGCTCAACCCTTCCTCTTATCTGAGAGGGCACTCCCAACGAAGCCTTTCGAAATATTCAGCTTTCTTTCCCCCGATAATACCTCTGTAAACAAGCTATACTAGAGCAAGAATATCTCATATCATCAGGGTTAAAAGCAAGAGTATCCCATATCATGCTTTTTCCCTGTCTTTTCCTTTGGCCTTGTTCTTACCTGCAAGACAAGGAGAAAGAGAGCAATCAGTCAGCACTTGGAATCAAGCTTCCAGCCAGGAACTGACTGCCTGGAACCCCTTACCTGATTACTTACCTGGCATTGCTCTCGAGTACTCATCTTCAACATCTTATGCTTCCAGGGAAGATACCACATCTGCCTGAGGAACATATAGGGCAAGTGAGAAGGATACAAGGAAGCATGTGGAGACAAGCGTAACAGCACACGTGCCGATACATCCACTACTCTGTCAAAAGCAAAAGTATCCCATATCAGCAGGGTCGAACGTACTCTAGATTTGATGGACTTATTTTAACCCTCAAATTCTTTAGTCGGCCTTATACTCTAGAGGAAACCAGAAAACCCTCCAGCCCAGTTCAAGAATAAGCCTGTGGAAAGTTACTTCTTCAAAAGCAAAAGTATCCCATATCATCTCTTCTCATTTTTTCTCTTTATCCTTCATGCTGCCTGCAAGATAGGGAGAATGTGAACAATCAGCCGGAGCTCTGATTGCTTACCTTGTCTGTCACCTCTTTCAGCAGATCCCCTAGCTCGGCGACTTGGGGGACTCCTACTACATGGTTTGTATCGCGCTTGACCAAACCTGAAACTACAAGTAAGCTTCAAGTGAAATTGATACATTACCTTGTGCATCTCCACCAGTTACAGATACCACCCCTGGATGGAGGAATAGTACTTCCAGAGAAGATGCCACATCTACCTATGAGACAGATAAGGCAAGTCAAGACGATACCACACTCCGGTACTTAGAAGTTTCGTGGTTACGAGATCATTCTCCCACAATATTTCCTAATGTCATTTGTACTAAATCATTCACTTGTACTCACTAAAGGAGAGCTTGAACCTATGTACTTGTGTAAACCCTTCACAATTAATGAGAACTCCTCTATTCCGTGGACGTAGCCAATCTGGGTGAACCACGTACATCTTGTGTTTGCTTTCCTATCTCTATCCATTTATATACTTATCCACACTAATGACCGGAGCAATCTAGCGAAGATCACAAAAAGTGACCGTTTTCGCTACCTAGGATCTATCTTGCAAGAGAACGGAGAATTAGATGGAGATCTCAACAGAAGAATACAAGCTGGATGGATGAAGTGTAAGAGTGCATCCGGCGTGTTGTGTGACCGTCGTAGGCCACTGAAGCTCAAGGGAAAATTTTATAGGACGGCAATAAGGCCAGCGATGTTGTATGGCACAGAATGTTGGGCGGTGAAGCATCAATACGTACACAAAATGGGTGTAGCGGAGATGAGGATGCTTCGTGGGATGTATGGGCACACGAGAAAGGATAAGATTGAGAATGAGGATATCCGAGGTAAAGTAGGAGTAGCCAAAATTGAAGGAAATATGAGAGAAAATCGGTTCCGGTGGTTTGGACATGTGCAAAGAAGGCCTACTGACGCTCCGGTTCGAAAATGTGACTATGGGACAGAGGTTCAGGGCCGAAGGGGTAGAGGAAGACCTAGAAAAATTTTGGAAGAGACCCTAAGAAAATACTTGAGTACTTGGATCTAACGGAGGACATGACACAAAACCGAGCGCAATGGCGTTCTAGGATTCATATAGCCGACCCCACTTAGTGGGAAAAGGCTTTGTTTTTGTTGTTGTTGTTGTATTCATTAATTATCACATAAACGATCACGTGATCACCTTTTAAAGATTATTTTTGTCAAACCAACCCCTCCACTTAACGAGAATAGCACCATAGCAGAATCAGTGTATACTTACTCTGATTAATTAATGTCCATTAACTAGAAGAAATAAAAATACACCAAAAAACATAAACTAGAAAAAAGCATCTGGTAATTGGATTTGTTTTTGTTTTAGGCTCTTGCAAGCAATTGTTGACCCAAGTTTAGTCATCAAAATTGCACATGTAATACGTCATCAAAATTGCACATGTAATACGTATGTCACCTGAGTTTCAATCATCTTCTTATAATTTAGTTTAATTTAAAGTAGAGTATAAATTTACCCTTTATCATTTCATTCAATGCAAATTTATCGTTGTATATCGTAAAAGAAGGTAGAGTATCAAATTATTAATTCTATAGATCTATACAATTATCTCATTACTTTTCTCTGGCAACACAAACAATAAATTCATTGAAAGGATGGGAGGAAGCATCTGTTTCATCATAAACCATCCTAAATACATATCCGAACCATTCAATCAATTGCTATATTCACAATAATTTCAAAAAAATAAAAAATACACTTCACTCGAAATAAATACAAAAAGAAAATGTAAAGTTTTGAGGTCTTAATAATTTACAAATACATAAGAATTTGCAGTATAGTTACATTTTTTGGGATATAATAGATAGAATACATACACGATATTATGCATATTGTAATCACAGTTTCGGTACAAAAGTTCTTCATTGCAGGCATATAATTATGAGTTTTTGAACACTACTACTCATGAATTCCTTCTAGCACGATTATAATGAGCATTACTAATCTCTAAATAAATTTCTCTAGAATCCTTGATTTGAGAGGATCTGGGGGACGAAAAGTCTCCAACCGCAAGTTGGAGGACGTACGGATATCGTTCAAATCGTTATCTCCCTTCTCCGACTTGATAATCTCCAAGACGTTCCCAAGAATGTTGCCTGCAAGCCCGACTTCCAGAAGATGCCGTGGCTCCTCTCCACCTTCGTGTATTAATTGACCGATCTGATTCAAGGAAACGACATTCTCTAAAATGACCTTGGCAAAGATAAGGCCAAGAAACTCTGGTGCTCTCGGGGTATCAATCACCGTATCCTCTAAGGTCGACAGAACAGTTTCAAATCTAGGCAGATAAAAGAAGAAATTAAATAATAGAAAAACATACAAAACCGAGAAGACCGTCAATTTCAATAACCAAATGCAGATGTAAACTTTCCCTTACCCTTTGATGAGCTGAGATTGACTCAAAGTTGCATCATTGGTCTTTGTAAGGTTGACTAGAAGCTTTGCCAAGAGATCTCGTTCAGCGTCCTTCCTCTCAAAAGAGTCTGTGATCCAAAGAGATATCATCGACGGATGGAAGCTTGGTGAGTTCAACTCTTTAATGCATAAGGCAACCTCTTTCTCGTCTCGAGCACTGAAAATAGAAAGGAAAACAAAATTAAGGAAGAGCATATGAAAAATCTTAACAAGGGTTATCAGAAGTTGTACAATACATCAAACCGTATATATATATCTAGAACGTAGTCTAAGACGAGTTCTTGGAAAGCCAATGACTGAACATCAACAATATGTATTTAAATCTTTAATGTCAAAGATTGCGAGCATCCGCCGAGGTCTGACTCTGACATCAAGCGGATGCATCAGGGCAAGAATGAGTTGTTTTAATATGATAAGAAGAAGCAGGGGAAAACGAGGCTGGCCACAATTAAACTAAACACATTTAGATATCACATTACTTGTCATTACACTCACTGCATTCAAGTCAACCTAGAAGTTTCCAAAGTAGCAGGTCAAATGTTGTACAAAGTCTACAATTCTCCATGCAAAATAACTTCTCAAGGTTTCTCAATATCCTTGAATGCACAACAATAAATTCAGCAAAACATTACGAGGGCAGATAACCCTCCAAAAAATTAAGACATACATGAAAAATGATAAAATGATCCAAACTTATTTATTTCTATATCTGCGTAAGTTATGCAAAGAAACCCTAAATTATATTTTTCAATAGATGTGAAAAAAAAAAACATAAACACTTAAACAATTGCAATCATGCGGTTTAACCAAAACAGCAACTAAAACACTAGGCCAACTGCGTAGGAAGTGAATTTTCCAATTGAGAACTAACAATTACAGATGAGTTGGTTACCAAGAGGAATGTTAGAGTAGATAGAAATCACTGTCTTACGGTCTACATTCTTTTAGTTTCTTTTCTAACACAGATATTCAAACTTAAGTACCTCCTACCTACACCTTACTCATCCCATGCCACTTGAGCTTTGCTAGTGGATCCCATATTCTGACACCAACTACATTTACGAGAGTCCGAACGAATTGTGTCTACCACTTTATAACATAGCATACAAGACTTACAAGTAATCGCACAAAAAAAACCCATCACAACTAACTCAACTCCTTTACTTTGTTTTTTTTTTCTTTTCCATTCTGTCTTCTGTACCAACCCCTGTGGGGTCCATTCAATGCCAGAGACAAACAACCCCGATTCTATTTATGCAACTTGAAGTTGACCAAAAAAACTGGAAGATGACCAACCATTGCTCCTAAGTCCTATTCATTCCTCACTTTCCTTTCAAGAATTGAATGCATAATCACATGCCCCACTTTCCCTTCAAGAATTGAATGCATAATCACATTAAGCAAATCATAGGCAGATTTTTTTAGCACGCAGAGAATTATCACATCTGAAGGATGCATTGAACTAAAATATAACAAAAATTAATTAGAACAGTCTAAAGCATGCATGACAAAAGAACTGCTCTCTCAAAAAATAAGAATATACCTGTAAAATTCTCTAATTGCTGCCAAAGACATATCTCTAAGACGGTCTTCAGTCAACACATTTTCTGAAGGAACATTTTTTGTTAAAGCTGCTCCATATGCACGTGTGGGTGGTGAAGTTGGAAGAGTTCTATGATCTGAACTCCTCAGGTCCCTACCACCAAAACTTAAATTACGCTCTGACACACTTGACTGATCATAAGCAGCTGGACCTGAAAATCTATCTGGCATATATCTTGGCACAGGATCCTCCCTTGGGTTGTAAGTTGTCCGCTCTGAAAGAGAACTGAAACCATTCGAACCAGCAGTCATCCTCCTAGAGTCTCCAGCACTGGGAGGCATTTCAGCCAAAGGAGCAGCTGACATTGATGGTGGTCCTCTGATGGACATTCCTCTGGCAAGACCACCCTGGGGACCCAAAGTTATAGAATCATCACCAATTGGTCTTTGTGTCAAGGGAACTGACAAGGTCCTACTCTCATAAGAATGTCTTTCATCTGTACGGACATCCTGACTGCCATAACCACGAACCTGAGCAGGCATCCCACGGAAACCACCCATATGGGCATTAGATGAAGAAAACATAGTCGATCCTCTTGGACTGAATTCCATACGAGGCCGCCTTCTAGCTGATGGATTGATTCCAGGACCACGGGCCAGCCTACTAGATTGTGCCTGTAGTTCTTGTGCAGCATCTCTGTGCACTTCCTCAATCTTTTTTGGTCCTTCAACTTTGCTCCTCTGCTGCCATTTATTCTTTCTCAAATCAATTGCATCCTTCAACATGAACCTAACCCTAGAAGATAATTTCAAGTTATTCGATAAGCTTTTCATCCTTTCAAAATATGCATCCATGTGCTCCTTGGCTTTCGGATGATCAATCATCTCCCCAATTGTGCTCATTAGTTTGCACAAAGCTTCAATATCTTCCTCATCTGGAGTCTGTTGCTGACCTAACATCTTTTTAATGCATTCGTGCATAATTCTCTCAGTCAACATTTTCTTTTTGTATAGCTCCCCAATTAATCTAATGTTACCCCACATTCGTCTTCGCCCTTTGATTCTTTTCTCCTCTCTTTCTTCTTCAGACTGTTTTACCTGACCCTCCTCATCGGCCTTATTGGCCTCCTCTTGCTCTCTTTCTCCCCTCTCAAATTCCTCCTGGCACTTGTTCAAAAGCAATCTCCTAAAAGTTATCTTTTCATTGTCTTCACTGAAATCAGGCAACTCTCCGGCAAGATAAAAACAGAAGTTAGCATACATCTCACAGAGAGTAGGCTCCATAAGAGCCTTGTCAAAGATATGTGAAATGACACCAGTTAGAGTAGTCGCATTATCTATATTAACAGCTTTCACTTGCTCGAATAGTTTTTCAAAGTTTTGAGGAGTTAACTTGTTCACTATAGCCTTTAACTGCCTTTGCTTGACCTGCTCTTCATCACTCACTTTACCCACTTCATTCTTCCTGTCAGCTTGGTGCCTTTGCTCGAATAGTTTTTCATAGTTTTGAGGAGTTAATTTCATGTGGGCATTAGGTGAAGATAACATAGTCGATCCTCTTGGACTGAATTCCATACGAGGCCGCCTTCTAGCTGATGGATTGATTCCAGGACCACGGGCCAGCCTACTAGATTGTGCCTGTAGTTCTTGTGCAGCATCTCTGTGCACTTCCTCAATCTTTTTTGGTCCTTCAACTTTGCTCCTCTGCTGCCATTTACTCTTTCTCAAATCAATTGCATCCTTCAACATGAACCTAACCCTAGAAGATAATTTCATGTTATTCGATAAGCTTTTCATCCTTTCAAAATATGCATCCATGTGCTCCTTGGCTTTCGGATGATCAATCATCTCCCCAATTGTGCTCATTAGTTTGCACAAAGCTTCAATATCTTCCTCATCTGGAGTCTGTTGCTGACCTAACATCTTTTTAATGCATTCGTGCATAATTCTCTCAGTCAACATTTTCTTTTTGTATAGCTCCCCAATTAATCTAATGTTACCCCACATTCGTCTTCGCCCTTTGATTCTTTTCTCCTCTCTTTCTTCTTCAGACTGTTTTACCTGACCCTCCTCATCGGCCTTATTGGCCTCCTCTTGCTCTCTTTCTCCCCTCTCAAATTCCTCCTGGCACTTGTTCAAAAGCAATCTCCTAAAAGTTATCTTTTCATTGTCTTCACTGAAATCAGGCAACTCTCCGGCAAGATAAAAACAGAAGTTAGCATACATCTCACAGAGAGTAGGCTCCATAAGAGCCTTGTCAAAGATATGTGAAATGACACCAGTTAGAGTAGTCGCATTATCTATATTAACAGCTTTCACTTGCTCGAATAGTTTTTCAAAGTTTTGAGGAGTTAACTTGTTCACTATAGCCTTTAACTGCCTTTGCTTGACCTGCTCTTCATCACTCACTTTACCCACTTCATTCTTCCTGTCAGCTTGGTGCCTTTGCTCGAATAGTTTTTCATAGTTTTGAGGAGTTAATTTCATGTGGGCATTAGGTGAAGATAACATAGTCGATCCTCTTGGACTGAATTCCATACGAGGCCCCCTTCTAGCTGATGGATTGATTCCAGGACCACGCGCCAGCCTACTAGACTGTGCCTGTAGTTCTTGTGCAGCATCTCTGTGCACTTCCTCAATCTTTTTTGGTCCTTCAACTTTGCTCCTCTGCTGCCATTTATTCTTTCTCAAATCAATTGCATCCTTCAACATGAACCTAACCCTAGAAGATAATTTCAAGTTATTCGATAAGCTTTTCATCCTTTCAAAATATGCATCCATGTGCTCCTTGGCTTTCGGATGATCAATCATCTCCCCAATTGTGCTCATTAGTTTGCACAAAGCTTCAATATCGCCCTCATCTGGAGTCTGTTGCTGACCTAACATCTTTTTAATGCATTCGTGCATTACTCTCTCGATCAACATTCTCTTTTTGTATAGCTCCCCAATCAAGCTAATGTTACCCAACATTCTTCTTCGCCCCTTGATTCTTTTCTCCTCTCTTTCTTCTTCAGACTGTTTTACCTGACCCTCCTCATCAGCCTTATTGGCCTCCTCTTGCTCTCTTTCTCCCCTCTCAAATTCCTCCTGGCACTTGTTCAAAAGCAATCTCCTAAAAGTTATCTTTTCATTGTCTTCACTGAAATCAGGCAACTCTCCGGCAAGATAAAAACAGAAGTTAGCATACATCTCACAGAGAGTAGGCTCCATAAGAGCCTTGTCAAAGATATGTGAAATGACACCAGTTAGAGTAGTCGCATTATCTATATTAACAGCTTTCACTTGCTCGAATAGTTTTTCAAAGTTTTGAGGAGTTAACTTGTTCACTATAGCCTTTAACTGCCTTTGCTTGACCTGCTCTTCATCACTCACTTTACCCACTTCATTCTTCCTGTCAGCTTGGTGCCTTTGCTCGAATAGTTTTTCATAGTTTTGAGGAGTTAATTTCATGTGGGCATTAGGTGAAGATAACATAGTCGATCCTCTTGGACTGAATTCCATAGGAGGCCCCCTTCTAGCTGATGGATTGATTCCAGGACCACGGGCCAGCCTACTAGACTGTGCCTGTAGTTCTTGTGCAGCATCTCTGTGCACTTCCTCAATCTTTTTTGGTCCTTCAACTTTGCTCCTCTGCTGCCATTTATTCTTTCTCAAATCAATTGCATCCTTCAACATGAACCTAACCCTAGAAGATAATTTCAAGTTATTCGATAAGCTTTTCATCCTTTCAAAATATGCATCCATGTGCTCCTTGGCTTTCGGATGATCAATCATCTCCCCAATTGTGCTCATTAGTTTGCACAAAGCTTCAATATCGCCCTCATCTGGAGTCTGTTGCTGACCTAACATCTTTTTAATGCATTCGTGCATTACTCTCTCGGTCAACATTCTCTTTTTGTATAGCTCCCCAATCAAGCTAATGTTACCCAACATTCTTCTTCGCCCCTTGATTCTTTTCTCCTCTCTTTCTTCTTCAGACTGTTTTACCTGACCCTCCTCATCAGCCTTATTGGCCTCCTCTTGCTCTCTTTCTCCCCTCTCAAATTCCTCCTGGCACTTGTTCAAAAGCAATCTCCTAAAAGTTATCTTTTCATTGTCTTCACTGAAATCAGGCAACTCTCCGGCAAGATAAAAACAGAAGTTAGCATACATCTCACAGAATGTAGGCCGCATAAGAGCCTTGTCAAAGATCTGTGAAACGACACCAGTTAGAGTTGTTGCATTATCTATATTAACAGCTTTCACTTGCTCGAATAGTTTTTCAAAGTTTTGAGGAGTTAACTTGTTCAGTATAGCCCTTAACTGCCTTTGCTTGGCCTGCTCTTCATCACGCACTTTACCCACTCCATTCTTCCTGTCAGATTGGTGCATCACCTGTAATGGAGTATGAGGAGAAGGCATCAAGCCCTTAGGTTGAAAATTCGTAGCTCTCTGCCACCTGTCGGCTTCAGAATTATTTCTTTGCATCCCTCCCTGATGACCAACAGAGTGAGCAGGCCCAGGCAGGATCCCTCTAACATGCTGCTGAACTGGTGTCTGTGAACACGGATCCCTCAAAACACCAAAATTGCTACCCTGTTGCTGGGGGCATTGTGACGCCATGCTGATCCCCAAGTTGCCCATCTGAGGTATCTGAGGACCCATTTGGGGGGTAAAAGTCAAGTTCTGGCTCTGATGCATAATTCCCTGGGGCTGCATTGGATGGGGCTGGAGACCTGGATCAAAAACTGGCTGCTGTACTTGAGTACTACGAATTGGTAATTGCATAGGCATTGGCATTTGAATTGAACTGGTGCTCATACTCTGATATTGGATCTGCTGGTTGGGGCCACCAAATTGCACCGGAACCTGTGGCTGATGAAATGGCATTGGCATGGACATCCCAACCTGAATGGAAACGCCCTTGGACGCAGCCCCTGGGGCTAAAACCAACAGAAAATATTAAATACCTGATCATTTGCATTTATCAATATATCATATCAGCACGTTAAATGAATGGGTACATCAGAACCTCCTACATTAAATCAATCGCAGGAAAACATTGCCAAGAAATGAAAATCAAACAAAAGGGGAAACACAGGTTTTAATCTCAGATTCCCAAACTCCTCCAACTAACCATAAAACTCTACAAAACAATCACGATATTATCAAATCAATTTCCAGACTGATACAACTGAAACTTCCAAATCTGTACCATGCAATTGGGGCTGTGCATGAGCTCCATTTTGTACGCCGCCACGTTGTGCAGGAGCCATACCGGAAACCTGAGGACTTACATTGGTTACACTTACAGTGGCGCCGGTGCCCTTAGGGTAAGCGGGTGAGTATCCCCTGTGCTGCTGATTAGAGCTTGCGGATCGCCCTGTTTTCCGGTACTGCGTCTCGTTCTTATCCGACGTTGATTGATTGAAGGACATATATTCCTACGATTAATTCACAAAAATTTTTTCCTAAATTTTCTCTGCAACCAAACATGCAGATCCACAAACCCCAAATCAAATCAATCAAACCTAATTAACCGAAAATCGCACCGTAAAGCGAGTGCGTAAGAGAATGATTAGGGTTCGATTGGAGTACCTTGAGAGTGAGGAGAAAGAATAAGGTTCTATTGAGAAACCATGAGAAAGTGCAGAGAGTGATATGAGCCTAAGTGACTCAAATGACCGAAAAAGACTTATAATCCTTCGTACCAATCATTTTTCTTTTCTCTTTTTCCCACTAAGCAACCTACCTCGCTAAGCAAACTCACTAACCTAAAATAACGGATCCAGATCATCTCCGGACCCTTCTGTGGGGATCCATCGGGATGCTTTCATTCTGGCCGTTAGATGAGATCGTGCGGCCAGAGATTTTATTTATTTTTATAAATCTGCTCTCTGCAAAACGACATCTTCTTCCTCTTTCCTTTCTTAAGACCTTACTTTCTCTGCTCTTCCTCCTCCTCCACCTTCCCCCCAAATTCAACAATTTAAAGTTTATTTATTTATTTCTAATTTGCCGACGTGATGGATAACCAAGATTCAAGGAAATTCTTGTTCTGTAATTTTTAATGCTCTAACTAGCTCGGCTCTTGGGTTGTCAAAAATTATTGGACGAAGTTTTCGATATTTTCTTCATAGATTATTTACAAATTGAGAGAAATACAGAGAGAAACGAAGGAAATGAATCCAAATTTAAAGAAAGAAATGGGGTTCCCAATTCTTTCCCACGCCCAATGAGATATGCCTTCAACTAGCAGTTGATCAGGGCATGTCCCTTAGACTGAGATGAGAGCCAGACTTGCTTCAAGGCGCCCGAGGACTTGTGCCTTCATTTCCTCTGTGGGCTAGGGTGAATACTACCAGCGGATCTGGTGAATCCTTGAATGGTCGTCCCTCTGCTAACCAAAAAGAAGCCACTGATGCGGATAAAAAAAGACAGGGTGGAAGGTTCCCAGGAGAGATTTGGAGCAGAGGATAGAGATGAATTAGCCCATAGGGAAAAAAGACATTTGGAAAGGATTTTTCCAAATAAAAAAACCCGTAATTTAGAAATTAAAATCAAGTTGCGCAGAGATAGAGATAGAGATAGAGATAGAGATGGAGATGGAAAAGGAGAAGACCGGCGGCAGAGAAACATGAGCAAAATATTGCAGAGAGCGGTGCAAGCGTGTTATGAGCCAAACAAAAAGCGTGTTATGAGCCAAACAAAGAGGAGAAGGGGTAGACTGAAGAGAGACAATCGGAACGGAAGGAGAGTAGACCTGGCGACCTCGTTTTGCGAAGAGGAGTTTTAAAAAATAATTAATATGTGGCCGCACGATCTCATCCAACGGACAAAATGAAATCGTTCCGTTGGATCCCCATAGGAGACCCGGAGATGAGCTGAATCCTAAAATAACGACAAAAACCTAAAAGTTTATTCGTGCCTATTTAATTTTCTAGTGTGACCACTTAGTACTACTATGTAATAGTGTTCCTTCCTATTTGTAAATGAGAGATCTTAGGTTCGATTCTTGTGAAAGATGAATTTGAACCATATTATTGTTAACTCATTATGAGGTTTAGCCCACTTTCTAACCTTTTAATGTAGATAATATCGTATGTTAAAAAGAAAAGAAAAAAAATCTAGTGTCATTGCTGTTTAGTATTACGGTTTAATACTATTCATTTTCACTTGTAAATGAAAGTTTTTCTTTTCTAGCAATTTGGTGCACACGCACACACCATTTGATCAATTTAATGAAAGTTCAACAATCAATTCAGTCAAAGGATAAATTGATAAAATTTTAATACCTTATAGTGTAAACTAACAAATGTAGTTCCTCAATACTTAACAAATGTGTTTTTTGTTTGTTTTGCTTTGTGATTAGTGGCGAAGTTATAGAGGCATAAGGAGGTGCAACGGCATCTCCATCATTAGAAATCGACCTTAAAAGCGAGAATTCGCGCCTTGATTTCTCTGAACTTGCACGAAACAACGTTGTTGCTGCATTGTGCGCGGCTTTTTTTACCAGTACTATCGACAAAAATTTGTCCCATGAATATAAGCAAATATCCATTTAATATTGGTACTGTTGGCGAATGTTGAAGAAATAAGTCAAAATATCGGCTTTTCCGGTACGAGCAACGACTGTTGCAAAAGCAACGGTTCAAAAAAGTCGCTAGGAAGAAGAAGCATGCGGTTCTTGGGTTTACTGCTATTTAAGTTGAAATGTTTAGTTTTAATTTTGTTGTGGCTAACAATGAAACTATAGCTGCAAGCACTTCTGATTTTTTTCTTAACATGCCGATAAGATAAGAAATAAAAAACATTGAGATGAAATTATTAATCAAACCATTCTTAAATTTTTCTTTCTAGTTCAGAGTTTCAGAAAAAATAGAAAGTAACTCACATTATATAAGAAATGTATTTTTTTAGTAGCATCGCTTGTATTAAAGAAATGTGCACATTATATATTTTCATAAAAGAAACTCAGTTACATATACATGTGTAAAACATGGTATATAATGAAATATAATAAGATACATATTACTTAGCTTATATACCAAACATCGTTCATATACGAATATTTTTTCAAAATAGTCGTCGATATATCTTTAAGTTACGCAATCGGTAATTTCATAAAAATTGGGATCTAAAACCTTGGATATTGTGAAAACACCAATGCGAAACAAAATGAGAGATTAATGGTTGAGTAATTGTATGGTTGTTTACAATTGAACATTACCACAAACAGTGGTGAAGCGAAGAGTTGTCCAGAGGGGCAAAATTTAAAAGGGTAAGATGCCTCAAAAAAATTTAGACAACAAAATCCTTTTAGATAGTAAACAATGTTAATGTCATTCATAATTTATTAATACATTGCTGCCGCGTTAGGTTTTATGTCATGAAAGCGTCACATAATAGGTTCATTATCAATAAAAGCAAAAACACCTCTCTCCCCTAGCGCATTGATCCCATGTGTCATTTTGTTTACCCCGTGTCGATAATTTTCTATTATACGAACAGGTCATCTAATGAGCTTTGTTCTTGTTTACCGCTTCTCTTATGAAAATTTAATTATGTTAATTCATTCTTTTTCAATTACTAACCAGTCAATTTAAAAAAAAATATTATATTATTCATTGTTTGTTCCGGTACTGCGTCTCGTTCTTATCCGACGTTGACTGATTGAATGACATATATTCCTACGATTAATTCACAAAATTTTTTCCTAAATTTTCTCTGTAACCAAACCAAACATGCAGATCCACAAACCCCAAATCAAATCAACCAAACCTAATTAACCGAAAATCGTACGGTAAAGCGAGTGCTTAAGAGAATGATAATCATGAGAAAACGCAGGGAGTGATATGAGCACAAGTGACTTTAAAATTAAATGACGGAAAAAGACTTATAATCCTGAGTAAAAATATATATTAGCACTGAAAATGTATTCGAAGTGCTCTACGTAGGGTGATTTTAAAACAAAAAATATTTTTTAAAAGTATTTTCAGTCCTTTAAAGGGATTTTGAAAACGAGCCATAAAAGAAAAACTTAGAGAGAGAAACAATTGTTTTGGTGTTTTGGTAAGAGAGAGGGATGAGTATTCGCTTTGGATCCTCTTAGTTAGAATCTTCACATCTTAATACTTTATCATATATCGTGCGGTTATTTTTTATTAGGTATTATTTGTGTTTAATTTTAAATAAATAATTTAAAATAATTTCTGATTGCACAATATTCGATGAACCACTAAAATGTGAAAATTCTTACCGTTTGGGATGTGGATGGGATTCAAATGAGAGAAGGGGAAAAGGGTGGAGGGGAGAGAGAGAGAGAGAGAGAGAGTGAGTGAATGTGGTAACTAACCCGTCAGGTGGTTAAGAACAGTTCCCTCGTAGGAAAGGACCCCAGGCTATTCACTATTTAATCCACCCAGTAAACAGTAACTGCCCTTAATGAATAGTAACTGCCTTTTGCATCTCCACCCCTACACTGAATAGCCATGGCAATAGGCAATAAAATATTAGTATTTATTTTATTTATAAAATAATACAAAATAATTATTTTAAGAAAAGTTCCCAGTTTCTTCTCTCTATCTGTTTCTATCACTCTGTGCAAATAGCAATGTCCGGAAACCACCATGTCCTCCGCCTAGTGCTCTCATGCCGCAAAATCACAGCACAGGTGACAAGCCCCAGCAGCTCCTCAATCATAGCCATGGCCTCTTCCTCCGAGCAAGAGTTCGTTGCCTGCTACCGATCCAATCTCAACCGCTTCCCTCGCTCTCCAACCTTCTGGGATGCCAAGGTCACCTCTCGCATCGGCGAGAAGCTTGCCCTTCGTTTCCAGGATATCGGCGTCACTGGTGTCGAGATTGACCTCCGTGAAGAGCTATCTAGGCCCGTCCACCACCGCATCGAGGTGTTGTCGCTCTTCTACTTTGTCCAGGCCCGTCCACCACATGGCTGATGTCGTCCAGACGTCAGCCTTGCGTCACATGCCCTTTGGGCTCTCGAGCTGGCAACTCCTATCGGGCCTCTCCCTCGGGGCCCGCTCGGGCTCCATCGCCAGCACACGCTAAACCAAGTTACTCGGGCTTTCTGGCCTTGTTTGAGAGCTAGTCCACCAGGCTAATGCCCACGGTGGAACTGCTCTAAAGGGTAGGGTTTTTGCTCCTTTCTTTTTGTACTTTACTTTATTCTCTTTTACTAAATACTTTCACTTTCCTTTTTTAATTAATTTTCTTTTTTACTATTCATTCGTACCAATCATTTTTCTTTCCTCCTTTTCTCACTAAGCAACCTACCTCGCTAAGCAAACTCACTAACCTATATAACGACAAATTCCTAAAAAGTTTAATGGTGCCTATTTAATTTTTTTAGTGTCACCACGTAGTACTACTGTGTAATGATGTTCTCCCTTATTTGTAAATAAGAAGTCTTATGTTCGATTATCGTTAAAAGTAAATTTGAACTATATTATTGTTAGCTTATTGTGAGGCTTAGCCCAATCTCTCACCTTTTAATATAGATAATATCATTTGTTAAAAAAAATTCTAATGCCATTGCTGCTTAATATTATAGTTTAATAATATTCTTTTTTCACGTGTAAGTGAAAGTTTTTCTTTTCTATCAATTTGGTGAAAGCACACTATTTGATCAATTTAATGAAAGTTCAACAATCAATTCGGTCAAAGACTAAATTGATACAATTTTAATATCTAATAGTGCAAACTTACAAATGCAGTTCATCAATACTTATCACTTTTATTGTTTAGTTTTCTTAAATATAACCTTTTATATTTAAAACTCCTATAATCATTTTTCCTACTAATTAATATACACCATAAAGTTTAATTAGTGGTTCTTTTTTTTTTCCTCTTCTCTCTCTCCTTTTAATTTCTTCCCAAACTTTCTCTATCGTCTTCTTTCCTACTCTGTTTTTTCTTTCTTCGTAAAAATACTGTCACAAGGGCAACATAATGGAGGCGGATGTTTATGCTTGAATCATAGCACAACGGATGTGGGATTTCATTTCCTGCTATAAATGTAATAATTGAATTTACTACGAAAGCATTTATACTTGAATAACAATATTTGAATCAAGTATTATGACAGTAGCTAATTTAAGGAACATAACGAAGACGAGCTATCAATTTCCAAATGTCTCGTTGAAATGCCCTTTGGTCAAAATGACCGATGCTACTAAAAAAAAATGATTACATATCCATTTTTACACAAAAAACTGTTTCACAACTATTTTGTTTTTTATCATTATAAAGCAGACATCTAATTTAACTCCAGAATCATGGAAACAGTATTTTGCCTCTTCTTGATATTGTGGGAGACTGCCTAACTATGGCACTTATTCATAATTGGTTGGTCCAAAAGATACTTGAATTATTACAAAAACTCAGTTACTTAGCAGAGCGTTAAAAGGCATTCCAGTTTAAACACTCAAATGGATATCTAAGAGGAAAAAAAAATTAACTATTAGATTAATCTTATAGTGTATAATAATTAGTAAAAAAATAATTATGGGAGTTTTAAATATAAAAAAAACATATAAGATTGGCGATGTGGCGAGTTTTGAGTGGGTTGTAGTACCACTCAGCAAAGTCCAATGGCAAGCAAAGCCCCACACAAGTTTTTCTCCTTTTCATGATCATTATTTTTTGTTTGTTTTGCTTTGTGATCGGTGGTGAAGCCATATAAAGGCAAAAGGAAGTGCGGCCGCATCTCCATCATCGGAAATAGACTCTAAAAGTGAGAATTTGCGCCCTGAGTTCTCTGAACTTGCCCGAAACCGACACTACTGCTATTTAAGTTGAAATGCACAATTTTATTTTTATTGTGGCTAACAATGAAACTACAGCTGCAAACACTTCTAATTTTTTTTCTTTTAAATAATATAAAAAACTCAACCTCCTAAATGAAACCATGCCGTTAAGATAATAATAAAAAAAAAACATAAAGTTTACGCTGAGATGAAATTATTAATCAAACAATTCTTTGTTGTAGTTCTATTAGATTAGGAATGTGATTGTGTAAATACTAGTATATCTAGGAATATCTCTTATATTCCTATTAGGAGTTGATTACCTATTAAGAGTTGTAATCTTAAAAGAGTAAGGATTTTACCTATCATACTACTATAAATAAAGGTACAATGGGGTGGAATAGAACACACCCACAATTACACATCTCTCTCTTTCTCTCTCTATGCCGCACCTCCTCTCTCTCTCTCTTTGGCCTCCATAATTGTTTAGTAAATTATGTTTACAACATGTTATCAGCATGTTCTTGACGCTGCGCTAAAGATAGTTTATTCTTCAATCAGGGGAGTATTACATTTTAATCATTCTTTTTATGATTAATTAATTATTTATTGAATTGATATAAATGCTATTGATTCAATTTAAATTTTCTGTGTTGAACATGATACAACGCATTGCTTAAAATAAAAGAAGATATTTGAATCGTCCATGAAGCATGAAAACATTCCACATGATGCATAAACCCCTCTATGTTTATATTTTCCTTATGATATATATATATATATATATATATATATATATATATATATGTATGTATGTATATTGTATATGTTTATATATTTGTTTCATGCATTATGCAATTATATTTGCTATGTGGAATATGTGAGTCAATGTATATCATATAAATTATAAGCAAATTAGGGTTTTTAAACCCCAGGTTCGAAAAATTGGGTATTTTTTTGGCACCACCACAGCAGTAGCCCTTTGGGCATTGCTACCACCACATGGACCCCCAGGTCATCGGCCTGGTTAACCTAGACAGGCCTGAAGCCCCAGTCTGCTTCCCAAGGAAGCCCGCAACTTTCTTAGGTTTGTCCCTGTGAACCCGGCTTGCATGGCCAACAACAATAGGCCGCTGGGCCTTCCTTTATGTCTTGGTCTGTATGCCACAACCTTCTTGGTTGCAGGACTTACGCCACAGCCCATTGGACTCGGCTGGGCCCTATGTAACCCTAACCTCCAGACAGCCTTCGTTGGGCTTGCCTTCCCATGCAAACCCAAGGCCAGCTTTCGCTGGGCCCTAACCCGTGCCCCCTGGCCCCAATTACACCAGCACTTGTTGCTGGGCTTAAAAAATTGACCCATGGCCTAAAGACCACTATGTGGCTGCTTTTGCAGCTATACTTACCCGAGTTTCTTTTTTTGCTCACGGTACCCAGCCCTATTTTTGGGCTATGGTATTTTCGACCCAGTAGTATTATTTTAATATTATTTTACTTCTACAATCGACCTTGTATGGCCTAATTTATTGAATTAATTAAAAGTGACATGCAGTCCATTAATCTGATAATGAATCGAAAATTATTGACCTGAAAATCACTTTTGGACATTAACGATTCAATAATTTATTTTTATACTTTGAACCGTTGACATACTTTCGTAGTAACGAAGCTTTCACACTTGAGTTCTTGAAGAACCTCAAATCCACTACACTTAAATCAGTATATTACATTATGTGTTCTTCCACGAACCTTTCTTTTATGAATTGAACGTTCATAAACTAAATTGAACCTGTAGTTTCAAATTTAGTGCCTTTGAAACCTGAAGTTTTCATAAAACAATACACCCACGAAAACCCGACGTTTTTCTTGAAAACCATGTCTTAGAACTCGAATGTTCTAACTTTGATGCTTATGGATGATTCATTCCCATAGCATTAATCACAATCTTGTTCATTCCAATTCAATGGATTGTCGAACCATCACAAGTTTGATTTTCCTTATTTGGACGTTTCTAATAGAAACCACTTTATGTGGGGTATAAGAAGTGAGTCTCCACTTGACTATCAAGAAGTTGAGACACCATTGAAGCCAACAATGGCATGAAAGAGCTGAATAAGCCTCCGCCATGATCTTCATTCGAAGAATTATGCCCGAAGCATTACCAACGGAAGTACCTCCTGAACGAGGATTCCATGGCTCTTTGGCTCACTCCTATGGACCATCTAATCATGAAAGATATTGCCCGAAACACACTATGATTACGTCCATGAATGAGTACAATTCTGAAGTTTATAAATCCGATCAAATTTTGACTAAAGAATACTTTTCTCGTCCTTCCTTGTTTCTAACTCTCCCCTGAAGCAACAAGTGCAGGAAGTGGAAGTTTACCAAATTCTCGGATTTTATTACTACCACAAACATATGTTAGAATTAGGGCCTGCCAAGGTGTGGCATCATGCCTGAAGCATGATCCTTGGCACCTAAGACCTAAAACTTCAAGAATAAGGGATAGTATTCCAAAACCTTAACCGTGTAGAATCTACTTCTATCTTGATGGAATAGATCATTGGTTATGCACCTGTTCGTGCTCTTACCAATGTTGTTAAGGAGTACCATTCTAGTAGTCAATATGTGAGACTAATTTTGCTCCATTGAACACTGTTAGAAGAGCAGAATTTTGACATGAATGGCCTTATTGGCCGAATCCACCCTAGTAACTGTGTGAACATTTTTCCATGTTCTTGGATTCAAGTTTGGTGTATGTTTTACTTATGGATAATCTTATTGATATTGTCCTCGAATATGAGTTAATTGAATCATGTTTCTTGTATACATGTAACTAAATTCAATTAAACACGTGATTAGGTAGGAATGTGGGAAAATTAGTTGTTTGGATGAATGCGTACTACGCACACTAACTTTACACCTAAATCACATCTTTAACAACGACTTCAAATCTATCTAACCTGATTAAGAGTATTGGCACACTCCTCATTGTATGAATGGTACTGAATTACCATTTAAGGGACATTAAATTCTCCCTGTAGTTGAGTTTTTAAGGATATTTGAGAGAATAATGATCATAAATGAAACCATCGAAGAAAATAGAGTGGAAAATCTTTGCACCACCTCCAAACATGAGCATGCAGCTTTGATTTAGGGCCAATGGGTTGTCTCCCAACTGGGAACAC